GAAACTGAGAAAACAAAAGATACTAAAAGTCCCTCTTCAAAAGGTTTTCCACATCAATAGCAGTGAAACTGTTAATTTAAGCCATTAAGTTTCAACCCTAGTTCTGTAACATAATTTTAACTCAGAGTTTTTCAAACATCATCATGAACTTGATTTAAGTAAAACCACATACCTTATTATTCTCTTCTTTTTAGAGAGAAAAGTGCATTCCTCAAGGCAGGAATTCCCTTTACAATTTCTTTAACAAACTGTCACCAGCCTCTAAGTGACCATCTTAGGGAGAGGTTTATCCATAAGGTACACCTGGATTTGGATGGTCATCATTACTATAAAATCTTCCTTCCAAACTCTAGCTCCTCAACTTCTACCTATTTATCTTAGTTCTGCCCAACACCACATCTATGCCTCGCAGTAAGAAAAATTGTATATAATGACACCAACTACAGAAAATGGAAATCTAACAAAGTAAAGATGTTTACTGTGTTTTACTGACTACACCAGAAAGATGTTTACCTGTGTTTTATTGACTATGCAAAGGCATTCAACTGCGTGAACCATAACAAATTACGGATAACACTGCAAAGAGTGGGAATTCCAGAACACTTAATTGTGCTCATGAAGAACCTGTACATAAATCAAGAGGCAGTCGTTCGGACAGAACAAAGGAATGCTACGTGGTTTAAAATCAGGAAAGGTGTGCATAACGGTTGTATCTTTTCACCATATTTATTCATTCTGTATGCTGAGTAAATAATCTGAGAAGCTAGACTGTATGAAGAAGAACAGGGCATCAGAACTGAAGGAAGACTTATTAACAACCTGCATTATGCAGATGACACAACCTTGCTTGGTGAAAGTGAAGAGGACTTGAAGCACTTACTGATGAAGATCAAAGATTACAGCCTTCCGTATGGATTATACCACAACATAAAGAAAACAAAAATCCTCACAACCGGACCAATAAGCAACATTGTGATAAACAGAAAATAGACTGAAGTTGTCAAGGATTTCATTTTATTTGGATCCACAATCAACATCCATGGAAGCAGCAGTCAAGAAATAAAAAGACGCATTGCACTGGGCAAATCTGTTGCAAAAGACCTCTTTAAAGTGTTGAAAAGCAAACACATCTCCTTGAAGACTAAGCAGCACCTGATCCAAGCCATGGTGTTTTCAACAGTCTTATATGCATGCGATAGCTGGATGGTGAATAAGGAAAACCAGAGAACTGACGCCTTTGAATTGTGGTGCTGGCGAAGAATACTGAATATACTATGGACTGTCAAAAGAACAAATCTGTCTTGGAAGAAGTACAACCAGAATGCTCCTCATAAGCAAAGATGACAAGCTAGGTCCCAAAATAAAGAATCAAGAAATTTTCCAGAGGAAGAGAATTTCTTGGAATTACTGGAGGTGGAATACAAAAGATTAATATACAGAACTCTTTAAGAGATCAGGAAGGAGATCAAGCAAAACGCAGAACAAGCTAAGGAACACAAAGACAAAGCAATAGATGATCTTATGAAGGTTATTCAAGGGCGTAATGACAAACTTAATAGACTGCAAGAATCTATAGAGAGACAGCAATCAGGAATCCAGGATATTAACAATAAACTTCCACAATTAGACAACTCAATAGAAAGTCATAGGAGCAGAACTGAGGCAACAGAAGTAGAATTAGGGAGGTTGAAGATAAAGCACTTGACACCAACTTATTTGAAGAAAATTCAGATAAAGAATTTTAAAAAACAAAGAAACTCTAAGAATTATGTGGAACTCTATCAAGAAGAATAACCTACAAGTGATTGGAGTACCAGAAGAGGGGGGGATAACAGAAAATACAGACAGAATTGTTGAAGATTTGTTGGTAGAAAACTTCCCTGATATCGTGAAAGATGAGAAGATATCTATCCAAGATGCTCATCGAACCCCACATAAGGTAGATCCCAAAAGAAAGTCACCAAGACATATTATCAACTTGCCAAAACCAAAGATAGAAAATTTTAAGAGTGGCTACGGATAAACGAAAAGTCATCTACAAAGGAGAAGCAATAAGAATAAGCTCGGACTACTCAGCAGAAACCATGCAGGTAAGAAGGCAATGGGATGACATATATAAAGCCTTGAAGGAAAAAAACTGCCAGCCAAGAATTAGATATCCAGCAAAACTGTCTCTCAAATATGGTAGTGAAATTAGGGCATTTCCAGATAAACAGAAGTTCAGGGAATTTGCAAAAACCAAACCAAAATTACAAGAAACACTAAAGGGAGTCCTCCGGTTAGAAAATCAGTAACATCAGATAACAACCCAAGACTAGAACACAGGACAGAGCAACCAAACATCAACATAGATAGGGAACTCACAAAAATAAATCAAAGCTGAAACACCGAAAATAGGGAAACAGACATGTCTATATGTAAAAGACGACAACATTAAAACAAAAAAGAGGGACTAAAAAACGTAGACAGATTTTTCACACAGAGAGGAAGTTAAGGCAATACAAACAAATAAAACACTGGTTTAAATTTTAAAAAATAGGGGTAAATATTAAGGTAACCACAAAGGAAATTAACAGTCCTACACATCAAAATAAAAAACAAGAAAAACATAAAGACTCAGCAAATTCAAAAACAACAGTGAAAAAGATGAAAAGAAAATACATAAAGAAAAACAACTCAGCACAGAAAATTAAGTAGAACAAAGAAACTGTGAACAACACACAAAAAAGACATCAAAATGACAGCACTAAACTCATACTTACCAATAATTATGCTGAACGCAAATGGACTAAATGCACCAATAAAGAGACATAGAGTGGCAGAATGGATAAAAAAACACAATCCATCTATATCCTGCCTACAGGAGACACACCTTAGGCTTAAAGACACAAACAAACTAAAACTCAAAGGATGGAAAAAAATATATCAAGCAAACAACATTCAAAAAAGTAGGAGTGGTAATATTAATCTCTGACAAAACATACTTTAAAGTAAAATCCACGCAAAGGATAAGGAAGGACACTATATATAATGATTAAAGGGTCAATACACCAGGAGGACATTAACTATAATGAATATTTACACACCCAATGACAGGGCTCTAAAATACATAAAACAAACTCTAACAGCATTGAAAAGAGAGATAGACAGCTCCCCAATAGTAGTAGGAGACTTCAACACACCACTTTTGGTGATGGACAGAACATCCAGAAAGCAGCTCAGTAAAGACACAGAAGATCTAAATGTCACAATTAATCAACTTGATCTCATGGACATGTACCGAACACCTAACAGCAGCCAAGTATACTTTCTTTTCCAACACACATGGAACATTCTCCAAAATAGACCACGTATTAGGCCATAAAGCAAGCCTTAAGAGAATCCAAAGCACTGAAATATTACAAAGCATCTTTTCTGACCATAAAGCCATAAAAGTAGAAACCAGTAACAGAAAATGCTAGGAAAAAAAAAATCAAACACATGGAAACTGAACCACCTCCTTGCTAAAAAAACTACTGGGTTACAGAAAAAATTAAGGATGAAATAAAGAAATTCATAGAATCAAATGAGAATGAAAACACATCCTACCAGAACCTCTGGGACACAGCAAAAGCAGTGCTCAGAGGTCGATTTATAGCAATAAATGCACACATCCATAAAGAAGAAAGGGCTAAAATCAAAACATTAACCCTACAACTCAAACAAGTAGAAAAAGAGCAGCAAAAGAAGTCCTCGGGCACCGGAAGAAAGGAAATAATAAGAATTAGAGCAGAATTAAATGAAACAGAGAATAGAAAAACAATTGAAAGAGTTAACAAGACGAAAAGCTGGTTCTTTGAAAAGATCAACAAAATCGATAAATCACTGCCCAAACTGACAAAATAGGAGAGGAAGCAAGTAACCCATGTAAGAAATGACATGGGTTAAAAGAATCATAGCAGATTATGAAAAACTGTACTGTAACAAATTTGAAAACCTAGAGGAAACGGACAAATTTCTAGAAACTCACTACACACCTAAAGTAACACAGAGGCAGACCAACTAAACCTGTAACAAAACAAGAGATTGAAAAGGTAATTTAAAAACTCTCAACAAAGGACACACTCTGCTCCTGGCAGAGCTTTCTTGGTGGTATGAGGTTCCCAACTCTCTGCTTGCTTCCCTTTCCTTTTAACTCTTGTAAGATAAAAGGTGGTGCAGGCCACACCCAGGGAACTCCCTTTACATTGGAGCACGGAAGTGACCTTAGTAAGGGTGTTACAATCCCACCCTAATCCTCTTTAACATAAAATGACAATCACAAAATGGAGGACAACCACACAATACTGGGACTCACGGCCCAGTCAAACTGATACACACATTTCTGGGGGGACATAATTCAATCCGTAACAGTAGACCACATGATTGTCCAATTCAAAATGACCAATCCTAGTCCATTTCAGTTCACTAATGCCTAGTATATCTTTGTGTTCCATTTCTTTTTTGATGATTTCCAATTTTCTTAGATTCATACTTCATACATTCCACATTCTGATTATTAGTGGATGTTTGCACCTGTTTCTTCTCATTTTGAGTTCTGCCACCTCAGCAAATGAAGGTCCCGAAAGTTCTACTCCATCCATATCATTAAAGTCGACTCTACCTTCAAGAGACAGCTCCTCCCAGTCATATTTTGAGTGCCTTCCAACCTGAGGGGCTCACCTTCCAGCATCATACCAGACAATGTTCCACTGCTATTCATAAGGTTTTCACTGGCCAATTTTTTCAGAAGTATACAGCCAGGTCCTTTTTCCTAGTGTCTTAGCATGGAAGCTCCACTGAAACTTATTTACCTTGGGTGACACTGCTGTTATTTGAAATACCTGTGGCACAGCTTCCAGCATCACATCAACCCACAAGCCACCACAGTATGACAAACTGACAGACAAGTAGTGGACAGAAGTCCATAGTGGTCCAGGTTTCAAATTCAAAGTGTGTTGGCCCTGACTTTGCAAACTTACCAGTGTCGTAGTAGGAGCAGAAACAGTTATTTTCAGACTACTCAGTTCCTGCTGGATTAATTTCTCTTCCTCCTAAAAAAGTGAAAATATTTAAATGTTTGAATAATTATCATTTTAAACTATAACAGTATTTTTAAAGAGAAAAATACAATTTATAACACTTTCAATTTAAAGAAACCATTATATTAAAACAAAATTATAAAAATTATATGTTTAAGATTTGCTTAAAGGCATCTCTCCAACCCTCAGTATCATCCCTGGAGAGCATAAATATTTCCAGGCTAAACTACCATTCCTCCTTTCTTCATTCAGTCACCGTCCCCTTAAGAACTGTCTGGCAGAAAATGGTTAAAAGCAATTTAAGGTGGAAAGAGAGTTCAAAAGTACTTCTCCATCTATTGGCCTTTCCCTCACTTCCCATCACTCACTGACACACACACACACACACACACACACACACACACACACACACACACACACACACACACACACACACACACACGGCAGTAAATACACCAATATGGTCACATCTACTTTCTGCATTTTATTTCAACTCCGTAAGCACTTGAAAATTGCTCCATTTTTGGCTAATATAAAGTTACCTTTAAATTATACTCAATTAGCAAGTGTCCATTAGGACTATTAGTGAAGTAATGTCACATAGCTGGATACTTTATGTACAGTTTCAAACTGCAATTTAAAACAAAAAAAAATTTTAATTTCATTCAGCACCTCATAAAATTACCAACAGCTAAAATGTTAAGACAAACAATATTAAGTCCACAAATGATTTGGGAATGTGAAGCAGACCCTCTCCAGTAAAAGACCATCTTAAACCCTCAGAGCACTGTTTTTTAAACCCTCAGAGCACTGTTTTTCTTCTCCTGTGGCACTTCTATTGCATTATAGTCATACGTACACTTGTCTTAAGCCCAGGACAGATCACAAAGTCCCTGGGAGAAGGGAATTGGTTTTACTCCATTTCCCTTTGTGTCTAACACACAGCCTTGCTCCATAAAGATCTGTTGACCACATTTAGTGCCTCTGTTCTACCTCCTAGTTTGCTGCATAGCACCTGGGGTCTTAAAAATTTGCAAGCAGTCATCCAAGGCATGACAATTGGTCTCTATTCACCTGGAGCAACGGAAGAAGGAGAGCCAGGAATAGATGGAGTAAATGCAATGTGTAGCTAACTGCCTCCATGAACAACTGCCTCTTTTGCCATGGGACCAAAAGAACTGGATAGTATCCCACTACCATTACTGAACATTTTGATCAAAGATTCTATAGAAGAATCTTGATCAAAAGGGGGAAAATGTAGAACAGAATTTCAAATTCTCATAGTGTCTTAGTCATCTAGTACTGCTCTAACAGAAATACCACAAGTGGATGGTTTAACAAAGAGAAGTTTATTCTCTCATAGTCCAGTAGGCTACAAGTCCAAATTCAGGGTGTCAGCTTCAGGAGAAGGCTTTCTCTCTCCGTCGGCTCTGGACGAAGGTCCTTAGGATGCATCAGTCTTCCCTTGGCCTGGGAGCATCTTAGCGCAGGAACCTCTGGTCCAAAGGAACGTGCTCTGCTCCCGGCACTGCTTTCTTGGTGGTGTGAGGTTCCCATGTGTCTCTTTCTTCTCTCTTTTATATCTCAAAAGAGATTGGATTAAGACAGCATCTAATCTTGTAAACCTCATCAGTATAACATCACAGTGATAGAATTTACAACACATAAGGAGATCACATACAACCTCATCATAGTGATAGAGTTACAACACACAGGAAATCACATCAGATTACACAATCATACAATACTGGGAATCATGACCCACCCAAGTTGACAGATATTTTTGGGGGACACAATTCAATCCATGACACATAGAATCCAGATTTTATGGAGCCATGTGGGCCTGATGAATCCCGAAACTATTACCCTGAGATAATCTTTTAAAACTTAAACCAAAAATATCCCGACACCACAGGTTAGCTAAACTAGCAAAATATGTCTGTCCTGAGCATCATGCTTTTTTTTTTTTTAATTGTACTTTAGATGAAGGTTTCTAGAACAAATAGTTACTCATTAAACCATTAGTACACATATTGTTTTATGACATTGGTTAACAACCCCACGACATGTCAACACTCTCCCTTCTCGACCTTGGGTTTCCTACTACCAGCTTTCCTGTCCCATCCTGCCTTCTAGTCCTTGTCCCTGGGCTGCTGTGCCCCATTAGTCTCGATTTGTTTTATGGGCTTGTTTAATCTGTGGCTGAACGGTGAACCTTGTGAGTGACTTCATTACTGAGCTAAAAGGGTGTCCGGGGGCCATACTCTTGGGGTTTCTCCAGTCTCTGTCAGGCCAGTAAGTCTGGTCTTTTTGTGTGAGTTAGAATTTTGTTCTACATTTTTCTCCAGCTCTGTCCAGGATGGTCTGCTGTGATCCCTGTCAGAGCAGTCAGTGGTGGTAGCCGGGCACCATCTAGTTGTATTGGACTCAGTCTGGTGGAGGCCGTGGTAGTTGTGGTTCATTAGTCCTTTGGACTCATCCTTCCCTTACATCTTGTTTTCTTTATTCTTCCTTGCTCCAGAAGGAGTGAGACCAGTGGAGTATCTTAGATGGCTGCTCACAGGCTTTTAAAACCCCAGATGCTACGCACCAAGGTAGAATGTGAACAACGTCTTTATAAACTATTTTATACCAATTGAGCTAGATATTCCCCGAGACCATGGTCCCCACAGCCCTCCACCCAGCAATTCGGGCCCTCAGGGAGTTTGGATACGGCATTATGCTCTTTTAAAAAATATCTATATAGAATAAAAGTGACAACAGCAACTTAAAAGATTAGATACGAACCTTAGAGGGCAGTGAGTCTATGTTAATGGGGGGGGCAACTCAGAAAAGGAGGGTGAGACTAGCTGCACAACTCAAATATAATCAATGTCAGTGAAGTGTCCACGTAGAAAACTGTTGAATTGGTGTACGTTTTTCTGTATATAGCCTCAACAATGATAATAAAATAAATTTTTAAAAATTTATATTCAATAACTGATTAAAAAAACCTGTAACAAATTATGGTACAACATGTTCTTTTTAAGATATAACCTTCTTGGAGCTTTGAATCACTATCTTACACAGTCCATGCAACTTCAAAAGTCTACAGCAACTCCATCTAAGATACAACTATTGGTCTCTATGAGTTCAGAATAAAGGAGAAGGAAACCAAAGACTCAGAGAAAAAACTAGCCCATAAGTTTAATAGTCTACACGAACCACAACCTCCTCTACCCTGAGACCAGTGCCCAGCTACCACTACTGACTGTTCTGATCAGGAATACAATACATGGATCTTGACAGAACGGGAGCAAAATGTGGAACACAACTCAAATTCTTAAAAAGCCCAGATTTACTACACCGGTTGAGTCTGAAGGACTCCCCCAGACTATGGCCCTGAGATACTCTTTAAACCTTGAATCAAAACTATTCCATAAGGTCATCTTTTATCTAAAAAACAGACTAACTCATGAAATAAACAGCATCACCCATAAGTACTGTGCTCCTTTTAAAAATCATCTACCACATACAAGACCAAGTGGTCAACATTTACTCAAAAGCAAAGATGAGAAGGCAAGGGGGCAGGGAAACTAGAGTACTGGCAACAGAACAACCGAAACAAAATAATGAGAAAACTGACACACTGTGAAAAATGTCACCAATATCACTGAACAAATTGTGCAGAAACTGTTAAACGGGAACCTAATTTGCTGTGAAAACTTTCACCAAAAACATAATAAAATATTTTAATTTAAAAAAAGTTTATAGTAGCTCAATACGGTAACTATTATAACTGCTCATTTTCAAACCTTGTCTGAGGCAGAGATTTACTCAGCAAATTTTACATTTTGAGAGAATTATGGTTTTTCTTTGTCCAACTTGTTGGTCTAACCTAAGAACCTCAAGCTCCCCAAAGATTTCCAGGTGGCAGGATCTGTTCGGGTGTGTGACATCTAGCAACTGAAGGGACCCG